AGTATGTATTATACCGCATTATGGCCACTAGATGGAGCTTACACTCTAATATACCCCCAGTCACACACTATTATACATATATAGCTGTGACATACTGTACACGAGACATTGTACATGATATACAAGTCTATCAGGAATCCATATTTATAATGTAAAGTGTAATAACAGAGTATTTGCATGCAGAGCATTGCGCAGGGGGGGAGGGGGGGGATACCATTCAATACAATGCACATGTACAGACTTTTTTTGGGGTGAGACTATACTCGTATGCCACAGCGCTGTTTTAAAGGGGAGGCGGGAGTGATCGGCTCTGCGGGGGAGGGACCTAATGCTGTGACAGCCAGTGCCGGACTGACCCTCGGGTTTCATGATGGCTCAGCAGCTTCTCCATTGAGTTTAAAGGGGAAGTGCTCCCACGTCCTCTGCCAGAGACCCCGAATGTCGCCAGAATAAAGATAACCCTGAAAGGGAAGAATCTCGGCCGCTTTACGTCTTCGGATATTAAAGACACAGACACAGAATTTGTTTTTTTATCGGTCTTTATCAATGAGAATTTTCTCCCATTACAATCATTTTACAATAAAACATATTATCCTAAAATTTATATCCCGTCCCATCCCCCGACCCCCAGAGCCAGGCACTGGCGGCCATAACATACATATATACACACAAGTCTCTTGGTCTGGGTCCGGCTCCTCACTGCGCCATGTCTTCTGCCACCACCTTCTTAAACTGATCCTTCAGGTAACATTGCTTCTGCCAGTCCGACTTCAAATCCTGCCACTCGTAGAAGGGGATCTGCCAGAGAGGAGAGGGAAAAAGGCGGGGAGAGCGTCAGAGAGGGGGAAAAGGCGGGGAGAGCGTCAGAGAGGGGGAAAAGGCGAGGAGAGCGTCAGAGAGGGGGAAAAGGCGGGGAGAGCGTCAGAGAGGGGAAAAAGGCGGGGAGAGCGTCAGAGAGGGGAAAAAGGCGGGGAGAGCGTCAGAGAGGGGAAAAAGGCGGGGAGAGCGTCAGAGAGGGGAAAAAGGCGGGGAGAGCGTCAGAGAGGGGAAAAAGGCGGGGAGAGCGTCAGAGAGGGGAAAAAGGCGGGGAGAGCGTCAGAGAGGGGAAAAAGGCGGGGAGAGCGTCAGAGAGGGGAAAAAGGCGGGGAGAGCGTCAGAGAGGGGAAAA